GTCTCAAAAAAAAACAAAACTTTTTGCTTGGACAGGTGTGGTAAGATTAGTGGTTTTGTTTATCGTGGACCCAAGTTACTGTACAAGAGTCTAGACTAAGTAGCCTTGGCCGGGCGCGGGGGCTCAGGCCTGTCATCCCACTTGGCAGGCTAAGGCCGGAGACTCGCTTGAGCCCGGAAGTCCAGACTAGCCGGGACAACACAGCGAGGCCCCGTCTCTACTGAAAATAGAAAAATCAGCCGGGCGTGGTGGCGCCTGTGGTCCCAGGTACTCGGAGACTGGCAGGATGGTCGCCGAGCCCAGGAATTGAAGGTTGTAGTGAGCTGTGATCCCACCACCGCTGCAGAATGTCTCCGGAAAAACCGAACAGCGTTATCTTTCTCGGGTGCCCTTGCATTTCTCTTTACCCTTTCAATTGAAAGTTTTGGGGAAATGTTTTTCTCCAAAAACATTAGGATTAGGATATTTACTCAGAGAAGTAAAGTAGTTTTAAACTTTTACCATGTATTTCAAAAGTTCAGATGTTTTTCTTCAAAAACATTACGATTAGGATATTTGCTCAGAGTAGTTTTAAACTTTCACCATGCATTTCACAAGTTACCCACTTCAGTGATTAACCCTTTTTTAATTATACCAAATTCAAGGACATTTATAAATGTTTTCCCTTGTAAATGAGATTAGGTCGAAATAGAGAGTTTTGCTGAAATACATGGGAGGTAATGTAAAATGAGTTGTTCTTGTTCCTGAAAAAACTGAAAGGCACCTTGCTGTCCCTAGTGCCACATCACTGCGCACTTGATCTTTTGAGAAGCAGTTTCTGATTCTCCTTATAAAATGGAAAACTCAGACTTAAGAAATGAAAGGGAGTTTTGATGGTAGGGGTGGGGCAAACAAGTTAATCAGCCCTCAGGGCTTTTGCCTCCCGGGGTTCTGTCTAAAGTTGTGCTACTCCAGTGCCAGTTGCAGAAAATGAATGCCCCTGGGAAATCGGGTTCTCAACAAACAAAAGGTAAAGAACCACCCTCCCACCCTCCTGCCCTCCTGCCCCCAGCCTAGAATAGATTTCCCAAGGAAGTTAGTAATCTGAGGATTATCTCCCTCCGGAGTGCCTCTTGCTCTGGTTTATTTTTACATTAAAGGTTAGTAAACTTAAAGGTCCTCAACATCTTTTCCATCCTGGTTGTTTTAAGGAGAAAACCTCACAGTCAAGGACTGCTTTTATTTTTTGAGCAGACTCCCAGGTCATTCTCTCCTCTCTGCCCTGGTTGACGATGACACAGTATTGTGTGACAACCGGTGTACAATCTGTAGAATGCTTAAAGCTGTATTACAAATAGTTGCTTAAAATACTTATTTTCCCAGCCCAAGGATGCTTCCACTTTTCTGTGGGGATAAAAATAACCTTAACCACTTTAAAATGGTAAATTTTGTGTTGTGTGTATTTTATCAGATTTTTATTTGAACAATTAAAATGACTTTTAAAAAGTCTCTGTGGAATTCAAATAGTAGATTTAAACCTTAGATATCGAATGTTATGGAGGCAGGTCCTTTATTGTTTTCAGCTGTCTTTAATCATCGGCCTGTAGGGTCCTAGCTAGGGAAGGGCCTTAGAAATCAGTCTCCTGTCCAGGCGTTCCCATCATGCCCTCCTTTTACATAGGGTCAGGCTGTGTTCTTAGCGTGTCCTGGCAGCTCAAGTTACCTAATCTTTGTGAGGCTCATTCCCAGAGGACTAAACAGTGTCTAAAACTTCTCATAATATCTTTTATAAAACACACTCTCGCACAGTTATCTTTTCAGACTTCCAAAACCAGTTATCTAAATTGAACCAGTGTGAACAGATTTAAGTCTGGTAAGCTCTCAATTATTAAAGGTCAACCACTTTGGCATACTAAGTGATTTTCATCTTTGTTTCATTTTTGTTGAGTTTCAGATCTGTTACTAGTTAATATTTTCCATTTTCATTCAGAAAATTAATAAAGGCAGTAAATACAATTATACAGAAGTTGTCTCATCAGCCTTCACAGGTTTAGGTTTGCTGAAGACACTCCATGTTTGAAATCTGTGTACTCCCACCTGTGAGTTTGTCTCATAGAAGTATTTATTGGAAGTCTTAAATTACTCGCAAGGATAACGATGGGAGTATCATCTTTTTGCGGGTGAAGCTTCTCTTGAGAGAGAACTGGTTACAGTGCTTTTTCACTACCACTCTGACCCAGGAGGCAAGCAAGGCAAGTTAGGGTTAGAGATCAGCTGGAGCTGAGCAGCAGCTTGACACCTTGGGAGGCACCAACACCTGAACCAGATGAATTCTTTTAGCTAGAGGCTAGTGTAGTATTGATTCCTGCCTACAAACTTTGTCTTGACTTGCCAGTTGCATCAGTCAGCTGCAATGTGCAGAGCTCCGCTGTGCTGGGGCGGGCCTTTTTTTGGCATAGTTTTTTTTGTTTTGTTTTTCAATTTTAAAAGACTAAGAAATAATGGAGAATGGGCCTTAATTGAGTATTCAATGAACATTCAGTTCTGGCTTGTGTAAAAATGTGCACTTGTACACACTATAGAAAACTGACTATAGTTTACTATGGCTAGAGGACGTTCTGTAACCTACTGATTGCGAATAGTACAGTAGAGCCTTCATCGTTGACCACCTCCCTAATTTTCGTAGACCAAGCGTGTACCACATGTACGTTACCAGTTCGGTAGGCCTAATTCCTTATGTTGACCAGTTTGTTACGCCCCTTGGGTGATCAACTTACAGAAGTTCTACTATATGTGTAAAAAACCCAATTTCAGTAAGAGGGTTTTCAATAATCTTTCCTGATTTGGATTTATTCAATTGTAGGGAAACAAAAAATACTTCAATCTGCATAGTGTTAGTGTTTTTGCATCTTTCTTTTCCTGTGTACCAACTTTATGAGATCAAGGAGAAAGATTTCTTTTAAATGCCTTTTAAAATTTTCATGGTATTGGGAAGGAAGAACTTAATTTGTTTTCTTAAACTGATAACAAAAATAGCATTTGTCAGGATGTTTGTGTAACATTTAATAGGATACTGACATTTCTGTATGTTTCATCCCTCCTATTTTTGAAGTTGGAGTGCTTAATACAGTTGGTGAGAGCCGGAGCCACACTCAATGTCTCCACCACGAGGTACTCCCAGACGCCAGCCCATATTGCAGCCTTTGGAGGACATCCTCAGTGCCTAGTCTGGCTGATTCAAGCTGGAGCCAACATTAACAAACCGGTGATTGACTTGACTTTGTTTACTTTTGTTTTTCTTTTCCTAGTTATAATTATGCGGGTGGTATTGCTTTAAATTGAGACCTTAATTAGAGTTTGGTATCTTTCCCTGAGGGCAAACTGGAATTTGTTTCTTCAATTATTTGTGGATAATAGGCCCTTTCCACAGACATGCTTTCTGGTTATAGAGTGCTTTTACCTGTTTTGTGACTTAAGGTGATCAACTGTGTTCCAGGGTGATTTGCCCCAGGTTATGGCCAGTAACTAAAGGAGCCTGACCTGGAGCCCAGCTTTCCTGGCTCCCTGCTCACAGCTGCCTCAGCTTCCTTCCACAGATACACACGCACGCTAGCGAAACAGGGCTACCAGGTCAGCTCTGAAGTGGGTTAACGTTGCCTGAGACACAAGTTAGGGATGATGACTGCATGCAGGTAAGTAGCTAAGTGTTGTTTACTGAGTGGGAAGCTTCTCATGGACGTAGTATTTGAGATTAAATACACAGACATGAACGTAACTGTGCCAATTTTTTCATTGTATGTTTATAGTATCTTGTCACCTGAATGAAACACACGTGCACACAAGTGTTTAGATAGTAGGGACTTGGTTTATAAGACAAGCATCTGGGTGTAGAGGTGTCCACGGATAATTTGCTCTGTAGCAGTCCCGAGACGCAGCATCCTATTCCAAGGGACTAGTCTACAGGACTTAGGCTCTATTCTTTATGTCTCTCTATGTGTCTTTTTTACTTTGTCCTATTTTTCCTTTTTTTTTCCTATGTAGTTTTCAAGGTCCTGTTGTGTGCAAAGGAACTTTGCTCTCCTCATTACTTCTGTTTCCCCTAAGATCCGTTCCTTGGTTGCTACCAGGTATAAAGTAGTTGCCAGCTCCTCTCCTAAAGATAACTCAGTATTCCTCTCTCATACCGACAAGGGACTGAGAGAAGGTGTTTTTAGCCATGGTTTAAAACAGGGATCAATGAGAAAGAGGGTAAGTGATAAGAGGGCAGTTTGTTCTTTTGGAGACTTTAATACAGGAGTCCTTAATTTTAAACATGGGGCCATTTCACTATCCCTCAGATCGTTGGAGGGCCGGACTGCAGGCCCCAGGACAAGTCGGCTGCTAAGCAGGACAGGCAACAGCGGCAGAAACACCCAGCGGGCCAGATAAATGTCCTTGGCAGGCCGCAGTTTGAGGACGCCTCCTAAGTACAGATAAAGTAGCCAGGAATTTAGACCTCTTTCTGTTACTAAACTGAAACTTGGAGTGTGGGACAACTTCTAGGCTTCCCATGCTACCTCCTCTTCCTTCGGCCTCCCGAGGTGTGCAGTAGGTGCCAGCTGTCTCTGCTGCCTTGTAGCCTGTGCATGTTTGGGAGTTAGGAGTTGCCTGCTGTGCGCCTTCCAGGTGCGCCAGCCCCCTGGTCGTCCATTGCCTGACATGTTGCTTCTACCTGTCCTGGTGGAAGGGGTACTGTAGGCTTGATTCCAGTTCTGCTGAACAAATTGTCTAACCCTGTGTTTAAGACCTCTGAGCTCCAGAAGTCCCCTTTTCAGATAGTGTCTTAGAGCATTTCAGGATCTTCAACAGATGGGGAGGGCAGGAAGTGGCTCTAGATAGCACCTGCCTAGAGCCCTCCCCTGCACTCTGCTGCCTCTGGCAGAACTTTCCACATTTCTCTCTCTTTAATAACCATTCTCAGAGCTGACACATTGCCTGGGGTATGGTTTGGCATTATTAAGCATCCTGGAATTTCTCCTTAAAGGATCTTAGGTTGTATGCAGTCTCCCAACATGCAGAATTTAGATCTGAATCTTGGGTGTTCTGTTATATGCTAAGTGGACTGTGACATCTCTTGTGAAGGGTGCCCCATGACCCTCGAAGTCACAATAGCCTTTTATTAGCTGCTCTAACATACTGTTGATTCTTCTTGAGGTAATCGTTTTCTCATTTTTCTATATAGAAACTCTTACAAAGCCAGATCCAGGTATTCTCCTTTGTTGCTTGCGTATATTTAATTTTGTGAACCTGGCATAGCAAACCCATCTCCTAGTTGCTAATCTCTGAGCTTGCTCACTGCTGACAGCTCTAAATCCATTTTCCTCTGACTCCCTTGGCCATCTTGAAGGTGAACCTAGGAGATGCTGAAACTCCGATGTGCTGTCTGTGCAGGTCAGCTTCTGAGTTACCCTTAAAGGAAATGAGGTGAACTTTTGCGAGCCTTGTCTTGAGTATCTATCCTTTCTTGCTGGCATTTGATGTTGCCTTTAGTCCGTAGTGTCCAGATAGTTGGAAGTCAGTGCCTCGCCTGACTTGAGATCTCCAGCACCACTCCCAGCTGCTTTATCATCCAGAGTTTGCCAGAGTGGAGAGTGGCTGGGCTAAGCTGGAGACTTAGGGACCCTTCCTGTGGCTCTTTACTCTTTTACAGGGGTCTATGCCCTTTGAGTGTTTTCTTTTTGTAACTCAACAAAAAACATGAGCTGGGTAGCTTTGCTTTTTCTCCGTCGTCTGTTAATATCACATGGTTACCAAACCCTTTATTTCATCTTATTCTAAGGAAAGCATGAAAACCCACCGCCCTGAAACCTCACCTAAATCTAGTTTTTCTGGCCAGTTATGTAGCTTTTATTTGTCCTTATTTTAGTCCTCTCCTCCTTTTGGGGGGAGGGTAGGGGTATGTTTTTACTTTTTAAAAACTATTTGACTTTTCTGTATAGCCGCATGGTTTTCTGTGTTTCTTTTCCGTTTAGAGCTTCACTTTCTATTCTTTGTAGACCTTGTTTAATCCTTCTGGTTTTCTGTAAATTAACCTACTGCTATTTCCTTTAGGTTCAGGTGCTTCACTTCAGCTTTCCCCTGCACTGGTGAGGGATTCTGACGGGCTGTGTTCTGGTGCCGCACACCGTGCACACCTGCCCCAGGCCTGCTGTGTCTCTGCCCCACAGTCGTGTGGGGCTTGTCTGCTGCCAAGTCACTTCTGATTATGACTTTGAAGTGTGGTTGCTGCAGGAGCTTCTGCACTAACCCTCAGAATCTCCACACAACAGTCTTAATTTTTGTAAAAGAAATGATGTCTTTCTCTCGGTGGTTGCATTTGATTTTTGTCTCTTGCTTGGCCGACAGCATGAACTTGTTTTGCATGACCGTGGTCTCCACGGCAGTTTCCCTGGATCTGCTCACTTCCTGCCACCTCCACCTCGCATCCTAAAGCAGAAATCTGATTCTTAGGCAGAGTTTGGTGTGTTTGACCTTTGTGTTCTCCCTTTTCTTGGCCAAACCATTTTGTCTAAATTGTCCCAATGCCATTTCAAAATAGAAAATTTGAGCAAGACCCCATTGTTGGCTCCGGTTCCTGTAGTAGGAACACAGTGGAGCAGGCCATGCGGTGGTTACAGTGTACTGTCTCTTGGACTTGATTATGTTTTAATGTGTGAGTTTTCGTACATAGTACAATTCTTTTGGGTTAATGTAAACACATTTGTGCTGAGATCGACCATAAAATGATCTGTAAATCACTATGGAGAGCGTTCAGGCTCTTGTTCCTGGAGAGGCCCTGACATGTAGGTGGCTGGCCTCAGCTGAGCATGCCTGGCCAGCCGTGTCCTCTTTGTGTGGCCTCAGCTGAACATGCCTGGCCAGCCGTGTCCTCTGGGTATGGCCTCAGCTGAATACAACTGGCCACCTGTATCCTCTGGGTGTGGCTCCAGCTGGATACGCCTGGCCAGCTGTGTCTTCTGTGTGTGGCCCCAGCTGAACACTCCTGGCTGGCCGTGACCTCTCTGTGTGGCCTCAGCTGAACACGGCTGGCCAGCCATGTCCTCTGTGTGTGTGGAGATTTGCCATCTTCACCACGGGGTTTTTATTTCAGAGATGGATAAAGTCATCTCTGGCCTATGCTAATTTACTGTAAAATGCAGGTGCTTTGGTAGGTCTGAGCATTGCTGTGTTGCTTTTGTTGTTTCAGGATTGTGAGGGTGAAACTCCCATTCACAAGGCGGCTCGCTCTGGGAGCCTGGAGTGCATCAGTGCCCTAGTGGCCAACGGGGCTTATGTCGAGTAAGTGTCTTTGTTTATTCTTCCCAAGTAAAGATGTAGTAGAGGATGTTATGTTTAAAGGCAATACTTAGAGCAAGCAGAAGTCCTAAAACTTTGTTTTTAAAATTAATAATGTAAATTTGCCTTTTAGACTAGCAAGAGGCTTAATTTCCCAGCAGCCTCAGGATTCTTGTCATGAGAAAGTATTTGTATGGAAAACAGTTAATTAGATTTGGAACTTGGCATCCTTGACTCTGCCACTAACTAGTGTCACCACGGGTGAGTCTTGAGACTTTCCTTTGCCAAGTTTTAATTTCCAAATAAGAAACTTGGATTGGGCTAGAATATCTTTCAGGCCTCTCTGGCTCAGAATATTGTTGAAGACAGTTTTTCTAGGTTTTGATTACCTCATCTTAGCAGATGTGAGAACAGTATGTTTTAAAGTCTATTATGATTTAATGATTTACAGCTCCTTGGAAGATAGGAACGACTATGTACATTAAAGACTTGAGATTTGCCATGAGCTTCTGATACTGATGCATTGTCTAGAATACCCTAGCCCAGTTTACATCAACTGCATTACTTAAAATTTGATACAACAGTCTTAATGTTTAGATCTGTTAATTTAGAAACATGATCTTATATGCAGATCATTAGCCATGGCATTGTACGTTTAATTTAGGTGTTAAATTCGTGTGTTTTAACTTTCTTTCAGAGATTTATATTATAAAAATTTTTTTTCTGCAGTTCACAGCATTAACAAAATGGATGCGGTTTTCACCCTTAAATGTTGAGTGTAAGCTATAGAGCCTTAATAACCAAAATAACTGATATCAGCTTTTTTGTTTTACCTTAAGTGTTTTGAATAATTCATAAAGATTAATTATAAACCACCTTATTCTAATTGGAAATGTGAAAATTAAGAGTTGGAGGAATAAAACCCACCAAACTAACTTAGTTTAACCCTTTGGTTTCCATTTCATTGCTTTGACTCTGTATTGTAGTAAATATTGAAAATAGACCCTGGGCAGCAAGACCACATAGGTCAATGCAAGGCGCATCTGAGTGCCAGAGGCTGTCGTTAACCTTGTAGCCTCTTAGCTTCTGTTTCCTTGAGTTTGCTGGCAAGATTAGTCATTAGAAGGGGCTTAGATCCTTTACTTCTGTAGTGACTTAGTGTTATAAATATGGCCTTTATCTGCTGCTGCATTGCAGGGACCTGGTGACTTTATATGTAGCTGTGACATAAGGTAATGTAAAAAGAAATGATAATATATTATACATAAGGAGAAAATATTGTGTATTAAGGAAATTCTCAGTGGGTTGCTGTAATGCAAAGTTATGTAGGCAGTTTTCTTAGCTGTATTTAGATTAAAAAATCTTCAATTTTAATAGCAGAAGCTTTGATTATAAAATACAGAGTCATATATAACATAATTGATTAAAATGCTTAATTGTCATTTATTGAAATAATTAGAAGTTGATCTTTTTAACAACTTATTTTTCTAAATAATACTCTAATTGGTCCTGAGCATTTCATTACAAAGATGTTTTAGTCATTTTAATGGATTGTTTTAATCCCTTGAGCCAATAAATATTCACAGTGTCCTCTTTTTAGTAGGTGTCTTTTTAAAAATGAGAATTTTTATTTACAATTCTGTCCTTGGTTACAGGGCCCTCAAGTGTCTCTTTTCTCCCAGGTGTGGCTGAGACGGCCTCAGGTGCCTGTCTGTTTTTCCTTCTCAGTATGAGAGCCACCCCTCAAGACCCTGCATTATGGTGACTTCCTTGGACTGAGCTTTCAAAATTTTTTTAGAAGAAATATTTATCCTGAGCTACCTAGCCAAATGCGTTTCTTAAAATTATAAGTCTTTGGCCTGGGGATAAAGCACAAATAATAATGATTTATTGCTGTTGTGTTATGTGGTTAATTAGTTTTAACATATAGATAAAACTAATGTTTTGCCAGTAATTTAAGTTGTAAATTGCTTCTTGATGTCTCTTCTGCACATTTTTGTAATTTGCCCCTTTACTCCATTAACATAAAACAGTTTGAATCCCTAAAATAATGGTATTGGGTCTATTGTATTTATTTCCCTGTAATGCTGCCCATATGGTAAAGTATAGTCCTAGCAAGTACTATGCCCTTTCTTTTTTAAAGAGATCAGCTTATTTAAAGTTAATTACTTTTTCCTGTTCTGAATTATTTTTCATGTTACATGGTGTAATATTTAGGAGATAATATAAATTTTTCCTTTTCTTATGAATAGATTAAAAGCTGCCTTATGTCAATATTTTTAAATTAATAATTTTCCTCTTGATTCCTGCTTTACTTTTTATATATCTATGAGATAAAGTGGCCAAAGTCTTAAATTATGCTTTTCTGGAATGAGGTAGATGGTGAGGGCAAGTCACTGGCGTGTCTCTGGCCAGATGGTCGTCACATCACTCACTTGTAATGTAGGTGCATCTGTAGATAACGCATTTCAGCTGCTGCATCGTATTAAATTTTCTAGCGTCACACGTGAGTATGTTAATGGACTTTGTTTTTATTTTCTTATTTTAAATCTTGAGTTTTGGTGCCAAGTTTTCTTTTCTACGTGAGGTTCTATTTCTGGCTTACAGGATAGCCATCATTTTTGTCATCATTTATTTCTAAAAATTAAAATACACAGGATTTTATAACAGTTCTGTGACCATACTAAACGTTTGTGTACTGTAAAGGATCTCAGCTTCTGTGTCTAAGCATGGGGTTTTCATTGAGTTCAGTTATCTTCACCTATAATCTTGCTTGAGTGGTGGTTAAATTTCTCCATCGCAGCCAGTGCTTAAATGGTGCTTCCTTCCCACTTAGGGTTTTGATTGGAAGAAGGGCATATATTAACATGGAGACGTCATCACCTAGTTTTTCTTAAGATCATGGAATAAGTAACAGCAGATTACGTCTTAATGTGATTTTGGAAAAAGTGGAAAACTTGCTGTCTGCTGATACTTTAGAGCTTTTTACTACTAACCTGGTGAATAGGAGATCTTGAAGCCTTGGGTTAGCTATACTTTTAGTAACTTGGTACCAGTTAATTTTGCCTGCTCTATTTTCTTGAGAGATAAAGTGGAGAATGTTTCCATATCAACCACATTTTAAAATAGCTTTATGCCACTGGGTAGGAATAAAGGGCCTTAGCAAGATTTCAGAGTGGAACCAGAGTTACTTGCATGTCAGGCAGTTGGCTAGTCCATCTTAATACCACTTAGACAGATGCAGGTATTTAGTGGTACAGCCTCATACCCTTCTGTAGGAGAGGATTTCTTTACAAGCCGTTTATTTTGTGGTAACCAGATACTCAAGTGGGCTACATGTATTTTAACTGAATTATTTGGTCCCAAGAGAAACTTAACTATCATTAGTTAGCTAGCATCTAGAGCATTGTTTTTCAACTTTTTTTTACCTCATGGCACACTTGAACCTATAGTTAAACTTCAGTGGTGCAGCTAAATTATGCTGATTTAAAAAGAGTTAAAAAAGAATATACTGACTGTGCTTTGATCTTTTGAAAATAATTTAATGGTCTTTAAGAGTTTATGAGGTGCAACTGTTGAAAATCCCTTGCCTTCCATAATCAAGTTTAGTGACTCTAGAAAAGTCTTTCTTTTTAGTTTAGAAAACACACACAGTTGGCTTAGAATATCAAAAGCGTAAACGTGCTAGCAGACTTACCTTAATACTTCACAGAGTGCTGCCGGACTTGGAGAGATTCTTAAGCCAAACTAAACCAGTTGAGTTTGGTTTATAATTGGTGGCATTTTTGACCCACCTTTACTTGTTTGTCATAGAACCCTTTCTAGAAGTCCCTTTTTCATCAGAGCAAAGACAGACAACGAGCGTATTTAATACCAGTGTCAAATTCGTTTGTAGCTTTTGCTCTTGGCAAAATGTAACTTTATTAGCTAGATTTGCTTCATTAGCTACTCATTTCTTAAACTTACAGTCTTCATTGTTCTCTTACTGGCCCTTGAGAATAATACTCCAGTTATGAAATTTATCAGAACTATGACTCTGAACTAGTATTTTCTGATTTTAGATTCTCTGAATTTTGATCGTACTCACATCCTGGTATTTGCCTCCCTTATCTAGTCATCACTATAGCAAACTTCTCTGATTTTGTTATTTTCTGGTGGCTCTTCTTAACTATTAAAAGGGTTTGAGGATGGAGGAATCATTTCTTGAGGAAGCTCTGAAAGTTTGCATGTCAGGCAGGAGCAGATAGTGGGCAAACGGCATTCCAGAACTGTTGGCAAATTAAATTTAGAATTCTGATTATATTTCATAATTGCATGTAGCCACTGCTTTTATACATTGTGCTTTCAAATAAAACGAATGATTTCTAAGTCAAGATCCTTACTAAATTATAGTGAGAGCATGTTAAATATTTCATCTGACTCCTAGAATGATGGATGCTCTTGTATTTTAATGTATGCAAACATAACTGTGGTTAAATTACAGTGTAAAACTATCTTCAGTATTATTGAACTTGAAATGAAAACTTGGCACCAAACTTATTTTAGGTAGAAACTTTTAAAAAAATAGTTTCTTCCTACTGTTAACTGAAGAATATATTTAAGAAAGTCTTTCTAATTTTAGAGTTTGGATACCAAAGGGTTAAAATTCTTTTACTGAAGAAGTTTTAGATATTTGCTAATGTTTTGTCTGTACAAATGGACATTTAGAAATGTTTCTTTTTTTAATGATTCCATGTATTTGCTTATTTCCATCTAGGAATAGTTACTAATGTATTTGAGATACAGCATACCAAATTTTAAAGTAACCAGAATCGTGAGTTGATGGTTTTTAGTCCGTACTGTTAAACTATTGTTGAAATATTGACATATTTAAATTGGCTTCATGCTGAAAAATTACTGAAGGTAATTTAAAAGGCAGTGTTTTCGAGCAATTGCTCATGGTCGAGGTGGTCACATGACAGTGGCTTAAGCCCAGTAAATGTGCTTCTGCACCTCATGTGTGT